CAGGAATGGGTGGATGGATATCCACAGGGAATGGATATCCACAGGGAATGGGTGCATGGATATTCCCAGGAATGGGTGCATGGATATCCACAGGGAATGGATATCCACAGGAATGGGTGGATGGATATCCACAGGGAATGGGTGGATGGATATCCACAGGGAATGGGTGGATGGATATCCACAGGGAATGGGTGGATGGATATCCACAGGGAATGGGTGCATGGATATCCACAGGGAATGGGATTTAACTCAGCCCCAAAACTTCCCGAAATTCCCTGGAGAAGAAGGATCAGGAAGCCCCCAGGGATGTTTGACTGGAAGCCCTTCCCCAGGGTGGCTCCATCTGGGATAAGGTTGGGATAACCCTCCATTCCCGAGCAGGATTTCTCCCCATTCCCGGTGGGATGGCTCCCAGCATCCCAGCCCATCCCAGTATCCCGGTTTCCCGCCCTCACCGAACATCCAGACGTCGCTGGCCGTGGTGAAGCGCCGGAAGTTGATGGATTCGGGAGACATCCACTTGATGGGCAGGCGGGAGATGGAGGCTGGAAAGGGACGGGAAAGGGTTGGGGAGGGCGGGGACAATCCCGGCCCCTGCTGGGACAATCCTGGCTCCAGAGGGACGGGATTCCCGGCTCCCAGGGAAGGGATCTCCACGGGCAGGGATTCCCGGTTCCAGGGAAGGGATTCCCGGCTCCCAGGGAAGGGATTCCCAGCTCCCAGGGAAAGGATTCCCGGCTCCAGCGGGAAGGGATCCCCAGCTCCCAGCGGGAAGGCATTCCCGGTTCCATGGAAGGCATTCCCGGCCCCAGGGAAGGCATTCCCGGTTTCATGGAAGGCATTCCCGGTTCCAGCTTCCCCCCCACCTTTGTAATACTCCTCGTCCTCGATGTAGCGGGAGAGGCCGAAGTCTCCCAGCTTGACGCAGTCGGGAGAGGCCACCAGGATGTTCCGCACCGCGATGTCCCTGCGGGGACACGGAGGAGGGGGACACGCCCGGAGAGCCGGGAGAACCGCCGGAGTGAGGAGAGAGAGGGAGGGGACACGCCCGGAGAGCCGGGATAACGGCGGGAGTGAGCAGGGAGAGGGAGGGGATACACCCGGATAACCGGGATAACGGCGGGAGTGAGCAGGGAGAGGGAGGGGATACACCCGGAGAGCCGGGAGAACCGCGGGAGTGAGGAGAAAGAGGGAGAGGGCACACCAGGATAACCGGGATAACGGCGGGAGTGAGCAGGGAGGGACAGGGAGAGGGAGGGGACACACCCGGATAACCGGGATAACAGAGGGGATTGAGGAAAGAGAGCCTGGGAGGGACAGGGATGGGGAGGGAGAGGGATGGAGAGGGAGGGAACACAGCCAGATAACTGGGATAACAGCAGGGAGTGAGGAGAGAGAACCTGGGATGGGGACGGAGA